TTTCCCCAGCAGCCCTCTTCAGATGTGCATTTGAGCTCCATTAGAGCCAGGAACGGGATATTAGGCACTGTCTCCAGACCTGGCCCAGTAGCTTTTCAAGAATTCTTGTTACGCACTGCGCCCTGACTGCTGCCTTTTTGTCTAGAGAGCAGTAGCAGTTTACCCGGGATCCAGCTGGATACTGTGACTACGAGCGACTTTTTGGATGTGTTGGCTCACTCCAAGCCTTCAGCAAAGAATCTGACTGAGAAATACTTGGCCTGGCAAGAGAGATATGAGTCTGTGTAAAGCTGCCCTCAGCCTGACCTGGCCAGAGTCAGTGACAGCCTCCACAGCAATGACTCTGGTGGAAGGGAGGATATTATCCTTGAACGCTGGATGAATTTGGACAATTGTGTTATTTTGGAAACATGAGATCTTGTGGCATGGATGTCAGCAAAGTGAAGATTTATGTGTGCTGTTGGGTCAGGCAATGCAGTTTTTCCTCACAATTCGACTATAAAATTTTGAAGAAGTTTCTTGTAGTATTCCTTGTCTGTGAACCGAGGTCTTCATTTTGAAGAAAAGTATTTTCTTAGTCTCTGTTCATAATTTCATTCTTGTAACACGTTCTCGAGCCTGTCAGATATCATCAGTATCCCCTCTCTCCCTCTCCCTCCCCCATCCCCTTTCTTGGCTTTCTTCCAAGGCTTGTGTAGTGCTGGCTGGCCTGAACCTGCTTTGTAGACCAGTCTGGCTTTGAATTCACAGAGATCCATCTACCTCTGCCTCCCGAGTGTGCTTTCCTAAACATGAACACCTCATGTGACTCTGTTCTCCCCACTTCCTCTGCTCTAGGGGAAGGAGACCACCATAGAACCGGATTTGCACCTACCCTTTCTTTCCAGTCCCTCTTACCCTAGCTGACCACTGTGACCACTGTCCTGCCTCACACTTATTGTCCCCAAGCCCCAAACTTCTGTTTTCCCAGGGAATAAAGGAAAACCTCCATTCTCCTGCTCTAGCTTCTCAGGGTTTCTGGATCCCAACTAGTTTATTAGCTAACTTTCAATCACTTGACTTTTCAGTTCTGCCTCGCAACCCCTCCTGGTGCCTGGAAGACTCCAGGCTTTGAGGAAAGAGTTCTGAAGGATAAATTGTGTACTCAGTTTGGTTGGCTCTCCATCTACTTTGCATCTTCTGTTGTTCCATCTTCTCATCTGCATTCTCTCACTGGCTGATCTTGTGGGTTTATAATTTCTCAATTCTCTTCCTTTCTTTGGGGGGGGGCATTGAGAAAGGAGACCAGCTAATGCATGGATTTACTCTAGATTATACTCTACAGTTATTTATTTGTTCCTTATGTTTCTGTGTGAGTGTATGTCACATGTGTACAGATGCCATGGAGGCCAGAGGAGTGTGCCGGCTCCTGGGGTCACCTGTAGCTGGAGTCACAGGCAGTTGTGAGCTCTCAACACAAGTGCTGTGTACCCCCATACTAGGGGGTCCTCTGTAAGAATGCAAGTGCTCTAAAGGGTTGGGAAGATAGCTCAGTTAGCTTGCCTCAGAAATACGAGGGCCTGAGTTTGATCCCTAACATTCACATAAACATGCCATCTTGAGTGGTACATGTTTACAACTCCAGTGTTGGGGAGGTAACAGAGACAGGAGGACACCCTGGCTCACTGGCCAGGCAGGTAAGCTCCAGACCAAGAAGATCCTGCCTCAAAGGTGGCGCATGGTGTTTCTGAGGGTGACACTGGAGGTTGTCCTCTGGGCTCTAGAACATACGTGCACATGCACACGCATGCATTTAAAAAAGATTATACACATACACACATTACATACACACACATATGAAGTTGTCTGAGAAGTTGACTTCTCAGTGGTTGGAATAAATAAAATTTAACTTAGTCCATCGTAGGGTATTTTGTTGTTATTTGTTATAAATCAGAGTTCACAACTCAAATGACTAAGGTAGCAAGGAAACTGATAGTACATGAGTAAGGTGTGCTAGGTATGGAATAAGGCAGAGGCAGGAGGGGGGCAGGTGAACTGGTGAGGGCCAGGGACTCTCTAAAGGGCACAGTAGTGACCCAGCCCAGGTCAACATTGGCCTAACATTGCCAGATCTAATTTTCCTAGAAACATCATTCTCAATGATGGCAAGTAGGGTTAGTCAACCCTTGTTCCTGTATTACTGGAATCCTTTATATGTCTGGTTGGTGGACCACACTTATCACCGGTAAACTCAGCCTTAGTTGTCGTCTTCATCGCTTACCAATCATTCGCACTGTATTCGGCAACTGTGTGTGTGATTCCGTTGGTTGTCCTCAGAAGTAAGATCCATGGTTTGAGGTCCTTTTGTCATTTACTGATTTAATGAAGTGTTCTTTAAAAAGGTGTTGGCCAACAACTACCTGATCCCCAGAAGTTAAGGAAACTTGCTCAGCTTCTGCACTCCATTATAGGAAGTCTACCATTGCTTTGAATTTGTCGGAGTCCTTTGTACTGTTAGTTCATTTTTATATGCCTCAATACCCTGACTAGAAGATACTCATCTTAGGAGACAGAGCTATGTCTGCTGTCTTCCTTATGCTTTAGCCACAGTAAGCATTTAATAAATAGAAGTTTCCAAGGCACATCAGTCTTGGAAACGGTTCCAATGTATATGACAAGAAAGTAAACACTAGAAGACACTCAGAGTTGTCAGTGACCTATGCAGTTTATATGATTTTTGATCTGATGCCTCACTACTGCCTCTTAAAGACAGAAATGTGCTTCCAGCTAGTAGGCCTTGATGGCTGGTATCATAAAAAGCCAGCAAAACCCTCGTGAATTTATGTGGAAAACATCTTTGTGATTTACGACAAATAAACACGATAATGTAAACATGGCTCCACGCAAATGACTGTAATATGAAAAAGGGATTCATTCTGCCACTCAGGGAGGAGTGTTTTGGTCAAATAGATTAATGCAGTTTTAAAAATTTTTTTATTGCAGGAGCCTAAGGACTTTAATTTCATGTTACTGGAACCACTGATCCAAAGCTAACTGAACATAATAAATACAGGGGTGTTTCCACCTTCCCCACCCTACAGGATACTGGAATTTTAAAGTCTGGGATTAAGGGTGAAGTGACAGCGCTATCATTACAAGGGAGTATAGTATCTGACATCACACCTGGAGACATTTGTGGAGTCATCACAGTGGAGTGGTCCCTTTCCTGTGCGGAACCATCACAATGGAGTGGCCTCTGTTCTGTGACTTGTCATGGTAGGCTCTGCTGGATGTAGTGTGGCAGGCAGGCAGAACTACACCCACTACAGCTGTGTGAGGTGTCAGAGGAGCGGTGGGAACCCGGCCGCTACTGGACTGGCTCACACTCCACCAGTGTGTTCCGTGCTCATGATACCCATCATTCCCTGTCATGCCCTATCGTCAGCACCATCCTGCTCATAGTATCATTTAACCCATTTCCTGGCCCATAAGTTAACAGTGAAACCAGTGTGGATTCAGTCTTTCATATCAATACAACATAACCCTTTGATTGTGAGACTGGGTGATGGCTAGTGCTGTCTCAACAGAACCGAGAATCACTCTGGGCTGCCGGTAGGGGATTTTCTTGATTTTGGTATGGTAAGAACTGTGTGCTCTGGGGGACACCACTTCCTGGTTGTGACCCTGGACCATATAAAGTGGATTAAGACCCTTGAGCAGTTTGGTGCATTCTTTTGAGTGGAGATGTGTTGTGGACAGCTGCTTTAAGCCCCTGCTGCCTTCATGAAGAACTGGGACTATGAACTGTAAGCTAAAACCTCCCTCTCTCAAGAAATTTTGTTACAGCAACAAGAAAAACTAGGACAGCTGGTGGAGGAAGCCCCTCAGACACATGAGTGACATTTCCTGCAGAAGGCCAAGATGACTAACCAGCTCAGCCGCTTACTGGAGTGTTTCTAGCAAGTCTAAGGTAAGCTTGTAAGCTATCATCCTGGACCTCCGGACAGGCCAGTTAACAAGCCCTAATGTGTGTTAAATGTTACAGATTCCCATGGTCCTAGTGGCACTGGAACAAGATTCTTCTCCAGGCTGGATGCCTGGCTGAGGTCTCTCCTATCCGGTGACCATGATACTTACATTGGCTCTATCATGAGCTGCCTTTGCTTTAGCTCTGTCCTGTCTCCAGAGCATCTGCTCCACGGTTTGCTTCCTCTCCACCCACAATAAAGCATCCTAGCATTAAATTCCTGTAATATTTAGCTCATTTCCACTGTTCAGTTGCCTTCGTGGTGGCAGACATAAAAAGAATGAGCCACTCTTGTCCAGAGAAGAGATGCGGAACTGCTTGAGGGCACTGTTACAGATACCACCTGGGCAGAACGCTGTGACACCTTGTTCCATCTTGCAGGTGGGGAAGTCATCAGACAACACATGGAGTCCCACCTTCCTAGTGATCTTCAGTATTGTCTCCTTAGGTTCTCAACTAGAAAGCCCCTTAGGGTAAAAGCCTTTTTTTCCACACTTAATATTTCCTACAATACCCGGGGCCAGCACAGCAGTTCGTGCACACCAGCTATGGAATATCCTGAGAAAGGAACAGTTGCTCTTGGTACCCAAGTCACAGACTACAAATGGCTGTGACCCCTTCCCCAGGTGCCAGGGCAGTGCAGCTTTCCTGCCAGCTGACTTTTATCACATGCAGCTCTTCCCAAGGGCTATGCAGCACAGCATTTGACCCTCAAGACCAATCTCGTCAAGACAGCCCTTTTCAGGTTTTCTAGGCTAAGAACTTAGTATGGGTTTCCATGTTAGATGCTCGCAGCAGTACTGTGCAGTGAGGGGTGGGGTGACTTAGTCCTGCTCAGAGTCAAAGGGCATGAGCTTGTCAGATATCAGGAACCGTACCCCCAGCCACTCCTCACATCTTTCTGACTGGGCACGGTGATCATGCCACTGTCATCTGCACTTGACCGTGTATAAGTACTAAGTTGGGGGATTTGTTAAACCAAGAAAGCAGCACCTACTGAAGGACATTTATTTAGCTTTGTTCTCTCTCCTCCAAGACAGAGCTGATCTCTAAACAAGCATCAAAGCCTGAAGCTCATTAACATTAGTGTGTGCCTCAATAAGGTGAGCACTGCAATGATGCACAATTACATTCTAATAATTCAATGCCCAAGAGCCCTGTAAAGCAATTGCCACGGCCTCGGATTAGCACAGCATGCAAATGCACCAGGAAAATCATTACCCACTTAGTCTCCTTCATTTGGGTGGGTTTAACATGAGAAGAATAATCCAGGCACTGAGACGAGATCTCATTTTACAACTGTAGTAAGAAGTACATAAAAGCTTGAATCTGTCCCAATAGTTCTGAAAAGATTTCTCCCATAGTGTCAGAGGCAAAAATAATGAAATCTTGCAAATGTACAGTTAATAGGTCCCCAGTGGACACTAACTTCAAAAATGCACGGTCTATAAGACATTAAAGGCTTGATTTTAGTTTCTGCACTGTTCCTGTTAATAACAATGTCTAATTAAAACATCTGTAAAATACTGATAGTTTTAATTTTACATAAAATTTCCAAAACAACTGTTACACAGTATAATAGGTATCTGCAATGAATAGGTTATTAATGGAAATATTATTTTAAATTAAATTCGGGTTCTAAATTTAAATTAGTCATCTCTGGCTAATGAAGAGAAAAAGAAGTCATCTGTGCTGGGAATACAGTGGAAGGTTTGGCTCTCCACATCTGTTACAGCAGCTTCATTGGATCTCAACAGAAGGACTTGCCATGCTGCTTTTGTCTTGCGGTCTACTTGGCTCTTGTGCTGGGTTTCACAGTTGAACTCTGCATCTCCATGACAGCCTAATGCACCTTCAGTGCATCCCTGCATGAGTCGGCTGTCCTCTCATTTCCAGCAGACAAGTGGGAACCACGGCTACTCCACTCCCGTGGGAGCTTCTCCCAGCCCAGTGAACCTGATGAATATTTTAACAGGAATGGCACAGAATCTCGGCTCTCCCTTTCTTCAGGTCTCATCTTGTTTTACAAAACTAAACAAAAGAGATTAGCCAGCTCAGGGCTGGCTGCAATTCAGTACCCAGCTTTCTAATTAATGCACAATGAAAGAAGGTTCAACAGGATTGGCACTGGATGGCGCTGTCTGCTGATGCCACTGCATTAGAGAGGGCTCCATCCATCCAGTCTAGACAATGGAAGCTATGGATCAAGCTGCCTCACATCACATGTTGGTTCACAGGAGATGTTGCAGAATGTGGTCCACAGCGTGAGGGAAGCTCTCGCAAGTTAAGTAGGGAGGTGGATTAATTTTTTCTTCATCGGCGGTTCGGTATTTCCCTGAAATGAAGGCAACGCCAGTGAACAAAAGCTACAGCTAGAATGCCAAGTTCAACACACCCAGGAGCACCCTACAATTACCAGAGAACCTAGGGGTCCACATCCCCCAAAAGCACCTTCCCCTGAGGCTTGAAGAGGCAAAGGGCAATTCAAAGAACTGTTACATTTATCAACTTCCCCAGGTCCTCTGATCTTTCACAATGGATAGTTCTAGACGCAGGGTCACCTCACAGTTAAGGTTTCCTTCAAATCACGGAATCATTTTCTCCCCAACCTTCAGGTCTAAAGCTGGACTGGTGGTTTGAATCAGTGCTTTTTAAAATAGACTAGATATGAACCAGGTGCCAAGTGCAGGCCTGCTGCTTAACTTGTGACTCTGGCACATAGCACACCAGTCCCAAGGGGAACCTGTCCCCGCAGGGGATGTGGGGAGGCTTTGCATATGTAAAGGAGGCAGCAGGGTCCAGGTTCACGAGTCTTCCTGGGCCCAATGGCTTTCTGAATCTCCTCTTCCCTTCTAGCATCCAGTTGTCTCCGCAATGTTTATCATTTATAGTTACCATGTGTTTGATGGCTCATAGCGATGGACACTGTAAGACTTCTGGGAACAGGGATTATGTCTGCTCTGCACCCTAATGGATACCTAGCACCTAACATCATGATGGCCACATGGCAAGCATTCCCTAAATATGTCTTTAAAAAATGGACAGGAGGGAAGAAAGGGAGGGAGAAGAGGGGTGAGGAGACACTTGCCTGTCGCCTCATGACCACCATGCATTTTTCTTTCTTTTTCTGTCTCCTTTTCTATGACATCTATTTATTCTGTAGTTTTATCAGGGTTTCTCTGCCTGAATTTAGCTTTCCTCACAAAACAGGCCCCTTGGTTCCATTGCTCCCTCTTTCAGAAGGCGGTTCTTGTTCTGTCCTGCTGGAGTTCTTCAACATCAACATCAAAGGTCTAAATGTGATTAACACATACCTCACTCACCCCAACTTCTCAAGGTGCTCGCTGCACACAGCAGACTCTAAGCTAAATCCTGCTAAGAGCAAACCTGCTGGCAGTTTCTGCTTGGCATGTCAATGACTGACTACTCCTCTACCACCTACTTTCCAGATCCAGTGGTCTAAGGGACAGATAAGTGTCTAAGCCAGGGGGTTCTGGAATGCTTCTGCTAGACTAGTTAGCAAGTGGGGTTTCTACAAGGCTCAAAAGACATAGTGGCTTAGTTGTCCTGTCATGGTGTCTGGCTGAATGCATGAAGCAGGGTGCACATCTGTCCGGTTCACAGCAGCAGCAGTGCCTTCCTGAGTCAATAAAGGGAGATGAGAGAGACAGTAAAGAAGCTATGAGGATGCTGTAAGACTCACACACGGCTCTCTAGATCACCATTTCACATGCTAAGCAGGAATAAATTCTGGTTAGGACAAGTCAGAAGTCTTTTAACCAGCAGCTGAACATACAAAACTGACCACTGACCATATGCAAAATTTCTCAAGACAGTCCACGAAAAGTACTCTTACTGAATATGAATATAGATGTTCAGAATAATCTTAAATTCCAGGACAGCTTGTGCTTATCCACTGCACTGAGCTGGAAGTCACCAGGGACTCTGTTGTTGTGGTTTAGACCGATGGGCTTCCTCTAAGTTTTTCTAAGATCAACAGCTCGAACGGCCTGTTCTCTCAAGGGCCCGTTGCTTTACTGATTACATGTTTCAGATGTTGTCTTCTTCAGGACTAACTTGATGCAGCTGAGATAGGTTGCTGATAATCAGCAGCTCGATAGGAAGAAAGCAGAGTGGGTGGAGCTCAGTCAGGGCAGATGGAATATTCACAGCACTGCACAGATCTAGTTAGGGTGGTTGATATAAAAATCCTTAGTTTTATGAGCCTAAAAAGGAAACATTCATGAACTAATAGCCAAAAGCAAAAATAGTTTCCCTAGGGTTCCTTCAATGGTAGTGAAGTGAAAAGGAAACAAAAGGAGGATGGATGGGGCTATTTTTCTTGACTTCTCCCTGCTTCCTTGTTGCTGACATCATAGGGTTGTAGTGCTTCTGGGTAGGAGATGATGGAGAAATTTAAAGAGATGCTGAGTTAACTCTGAAGCGATGGCGTTTAATGGTCACTGTAATAACTTTTCTGTGACTTCATGTTTTCATCCTTGCTTGATTGTCTCACACAGCTAGTCAGCACACAGCTGAGACCAAGACACAGGACAAGTAACCTAGACTAGATTAGCTGAACCTGTCAAAGGCATTTCCTTTTTCCTAAACTTGAGAGACTGTGTAAAGGAAACTAATTTTATTGGAAATAAACCCAAGGCCTTATGCAGTCAAGCATTCTACCACTGACCTTTATTCCTAGGCCCCTAAACTTTTGACACCAAAACAAGTTAAGAGACAAGAAAAATGTTTTCTGCATATACTTTAAAAAATGCACAATGGACAGGTAGGATAAAAGCATCTAGCAGGCCTGTTTCTAGAGATCACCATCCTCACTGTCCTGCCACACAATACAGGAGTTATTTTCAGAGCACCATGACCCAGGCTTCCTGCTTCCTCTGATGAGAATCACATTTCTAGGAACACCTACACAACTGTGTGTACTTCTCTGTGTAACTATTCCAATGTCTCCATCCCTCGCAGCCTTTTCCCAGAATCCTAAACTCATTCCCTTTTAGCTTCATGCTAGAAAGAGAAGTAAAGGGCCAAAGAGCTCTGCCACTTCTGCCACGGCTGTTCTAGCAACTGTGACCTCTAATATCCTGGTTTCAGGGAGACAGTTTCCTGACTGGCCTAGAACTTGCTACGTCGGCCAGACTGGCCCCAAACTCATGGCAATCCATCACTCTCAGCCTCCCAAGTGCTGGTGTTAAAGGTGTGCCACCATACCCCACTCCATCCTTATCTTTGAGAAGTCATATATAGAAGATACATACCAGTTTTGACTAAGATGCCCAGCATGCCAGTGTTCTGAGCCCCACCAACATCATCCCTGCAGTCCTGGTAAAACATAAAGACATTTAGTCCAGTCTTACTCAGCTTGCCAACAAACTTCACCAATGACTGATTGGGCTGCACTGGCCACCTAAAATTCCGAGTCTTAGTTAGGGTTTCTATTGCTGTGAAGAGACACCATGACCATGGCAACTCTTTTTTTTTTTAAGATTTATTTATTTATTACATATACAGTGTTCTGCCTACACACCAGAAGGGGGTACCTGATTGAACTGTAGATGGTCATGAATCACCATGTGGTTGCTGGGAATTGAACTCAGGACCCCTGGAAGAGCAGTCAGCACTCTTAACCTCTGAGCCACCTCTCCAGTCCCTACCACAGCAACACTTATAAAGAAAAACATTTAATTGGGGCTGGCTTACAGTTTCAGTGGTTTAGTCCATTATCTTCATGGCATCTTGCAGGCAAACATAGTGCTGGAGGAGGAGCTGAGAGTTCTACATCTTGATCTGCAGGCAGCAGAAGCAACTGTCCTACTGGGCGTGACTTGAGCATATATGAGACCTCAAAGCATGCCTCCACAGTGACACACTTCCTCCAGCAAGGCCACACCCACTCCAAGACCACAATTCCTAACAGTGCCAAATGGCACCTCCTAATAGCGCCATTCCTCACTATGGTCAAGCATTCAAACTAATGAGTCTGTAGGGGCCATACCTATTCAAACCACCAAACCCTGCTTTTCGTCTTTCTTAAAACGCATGAAAAGAACATGTATATAAAGGGTTAGGGAGCTATGTGTGAACACTCTTAGGGAGGAAGCCATGCTGGAGAACACCATCAGGGCAGAAGTCCCTACACAGAACACACACAGGGATGAGTCCCCAGACTTTTCACATGGGTGTCTGCCCTCTCAAGGGAGATCATGAGAAACTGCATCTTTGAGAGGTTAATTATCAAGCTTCAGTCAGTCAATGAACTAGACTCATAAAATAACTTTTCTGTGGCCAAATGCCTTTAAAGTCCATCTAACCAGGTAGGATCAAGTGAAGCAGTTTATGTAAGAAGAGTGTCTACATTCGTTTCACACTTAGCAATTAGAGTCATCTGGAGGGAGTTCTGTAAACCAATTCTTACTCAAGGCAGAGATGAATATGCCTGCTGGAGCTAGGTGTGGTGGCACATACCCAAGGTCTCAGCACTCACTCAGGAAGCTGAGACATAAAAATTCATTGAATGAATAAGCTTGAGGCTAGCTGGGCAGTTCAGGAAATTTTATCTTAAAAAATTCCCTCCAAGGGGCTGGAGAGATGGCTCAGAGGTTAAGAGCACTGACTGTTCTTCCAGAGGTCCTGAGTTCAACTCCCAGCAACCACATGGTGGCTCACAACCACCTTGAATGAGATCTGGTGCCCTCTGCTGGCGTGCATAAGATTGCATACATAATAAATAAATAAAATATTAAAAAAAAGAAACAGAAAAAAAATTCCCTCCAAATCAGAAGCTTCACCAACATATACTTGGTTGATTTTGACAATGGATGTGGGGTAACTAAAAATTCAAAGCCTAGGAGGAACATCAAGACACCCAGCCTTGCCAATTTGTGTCTGAAAGCACACTCATTTAGATCCAATTCACGTCTGAAAGCACACTCACTTAGATCATGCCTGAAGACAGTTCCTTTCTAAAAAATGATTACTATTATTCACCAATGGTTCATGGAAATGATCTTCCCAAATGTCAAAGTCTTCCTTTGAAGTCTATAAAGACCTTTTATGTTAACACAGCTAAATTTTCCCTGTTGAAGAATGAGGATGGGGAGAGGGAGGAGGGAGCTGCCTCCCTCCTGGATAATGGCAACCACATGCAGCTGAGCACACCGCTACATGCTTCTCCCTCCTCCCATTCTGTATCTCTCGGAGTTTTCAGTCCCAGATAATTAACTTGTCACACACATTTGTCTAGGGAACCAGGTAAAATGCCAAGAGGAAAAGGTGGGACAAAAAACATAGTTTGTCAAACTATGATCAAGTTCAATGACCGTTCTATCAACTTTAGTAAATGACTCCAGAAGCAAAAGGTGACACCAGGAGGACTGTGACTCTTTCACCACCAGAGACTAAGAAGCTAGGAGGGAGTCAAACCCTGAGGTCTATATCCAGCGGTGCTAGGTAGGACACCCACCTCCGTAGGCTTCAGTTTCCTAATGTGTAAAATAAGGGTTGGATCAGACAGTATTAGTGGTTGCTTCCAGCCTGGCATGCTGTTATTTAGATCTAAATTAACCCACTCATACTAACTTGACATACACAGCACACATAGCAAATACTAGCTCACTTCATAAGGACAACAGTAAGGTGCACATCACCACATTCCACTCATTCCAGGCTCTGCCCCACTACTCAAAGAACTAAAGTGGTCAGCATCCCTGGTTAAAGGGATACACCAGTTGGATAATTCCATAAGTTTATGATAAAAAACAACAATTCTTTTGGTATAAGTTTTCTGTACAAGTTACATTAAAAATATTTGAGATCTGAATTAGGATTTTCTTTAGCAGGATACATAAAGCATTTAGCTCACTGGAGTATAAATGGTTTTTCATATATATATATAAACATATATATGCATATATATATTCTGTTGCTATGGAGACATGTTAGACACAACACTATTTTTACAAGAATGCCACTGAACATCTACAGGACAGCTGCCACAGGAGGCAGGGATTTAAAGCTGCATATGCTAGCATGACAGACAACTCAGGACATCTCTTGAGCTCTTCTACTTACATCTCCTATCATGACGGCCTCCTCTGGCGCATAGCCAGTGTCCCTCAATGCTTCCAGAAAGAAAGTCTTCTCTGGTTTTCCCACGACTATGGCTTTCGTGTCTGTGGCATACTCTAAGGCGGTCACAAACGGTCCTGGTCCCAGGGCTAAGCCATCTTTTTTCTTGTAATACCTGGCCTTGTGGATAGCTATCAGAGGGGCTCCATCCAGGAGTAACCTAGAGAAAAGGAGAAAATAGAGACAGGCTAACAGCAAGTCTTTTATGACTGGGAAAAAAATGTCAGACTTACAAAGTGGTTTTATTCACATTCACAGAAAAACGAAGTAGTTTCTTATTAACTTTTAATGACTTGCTGTCTTCTAATGAATTCACAAAGAACTGCTGGGAATTACACACACAGATACACTAAAGAAAGGTGATAGATTATTAAATTTGGGATTGCTTCAACCTTTTACCTTTAGTGATTTTACACACTTTACCAAATCACCAGGGAAAGAGAATTAAGAGAACTAATGCTAAATAAGGCACTGGAGGGAAGAAGCTTAACTTAATGAGACGAGTTGTTTCCCTTCCCTAATGGGAAGCAGGAGGCTCCAGAGCCTCTGAAGACACCACAGGGTTGTTGCTGCCTTGATGGAGGAGCGCTCGCACTGAGTACTTGCAGTTCCGTCTCCTCTACTTCAAACTGTAAGTTTCTTTTTCTTCAGAAGTTTAGTAGAGAATTTTCTAGTTTCTCCTTGTGATTTCACCTCTTCATAAAGCCTTCTGGCTGCTCCCAACACCACACTACTAACACGGTTTAAAGTGCAGCCTACTAACACATCTACCACAGGACAAACCGTACTCTTTCTCAGGACAAAAGGTGTCAAGATTTCGCACAGTGTGAGAAACAAGCTCTACACATAACTAGGGTGAGGAGTTAGCGACTCGGGCAAAAACATTGCAGATCTACACAAACTTAACACCTACCCCTCAAATCTGCCACCTATCCCAACAAAGCAGCTTGAGTCAAGCAGAAGTAGTCACGTTTGGATTACTGTCTAGTGGAATTGGAGATATGACATTACTACTTAATCTGATTTTAACCATGAAATAAATGACCTCACTAGCTTAATTTACTTTAAGTCATCTACTTAGTTAAAATATTTAGTAAGTCCATGGAGAAAGAATTCATCACATCTTATCCTTCACAATTATGAGTAATTAAGCGCTCAGCTATGAAACTGCTAAATTATTCTTGTCAGTGGGCACAGAAATAACTTCCTGTGGGAGATGCAGAATTCAGACATTTATGATTAAATATTTTATTAAGTAAAAACCAATCCCGGACTATTACAGGTTTACTGTTAGTTACTACAAATTGCTCACAGCACAGGACAGAGCCTACAAAGCCCTCTGCTGGTCTTCAAGAACCACAGTGGCTCAGCACGGCCCAGGATGACTCACCTAGCCCCACCTCCCAAGCCCATTTACTTGCTTCTGCATCACGGAACTGAAATCCTTTATGCAATAGACCTCAAAATTGCTTTCCACTTACATAGCAAAACTAAAAACTCATTTGACTTAGCTTGGTTAATATTTTATTATATATTAACTGGGCTGAGAATTACCATCTTGATTGATGTGTATACTTAATTTTGAGTGTCTTCCCTAGAAGGGCTGAACCTGTGGGCTCCTCTCCATTCTCTAAGATGGCTCTGTAGTGGCTGGGAAGGTGGCTCTCGCTCTACTGTTCTCTGCTCAGCATGGGCCTCACTGGGTCTTGGAAGGGTTGAAGAATATTTAAGTAAAAAAAAAACATTTAAGTAAATATTTCTTAGGCACAGATTTAAAGGTCTTTTGTGAATAAATATTTTTCAGAAAATATGAAAATAAGAGTCAGGTATGGTAGCACACTCCTGTATTCTCAGAATTCCCTCTGTGGAGGCAGGAGCTAGAAGATCTCAAGTTCAAAGCCAGCCTGGACACACAGTGATAACAGTGAAATGCTGTGTCAAGAACAATGACAAGTGTATTAAAAGCAGCTTCTTCTCTATCTTGAGTGTTCCTATATCTACTAAGTAGGCAACAGCGGGTGGCTGGTGTCTATTTCTGTTGCTAGAAATAACATGTTGGCAGGAAAGGTAAAACTTTTTAACTATAAGCCTATAATGGTGTAAGAAATGAAGGGAAAAGACAAAAAGGCCTGGTAACAGAGCCTCTGCTTCTAAGTTTCAGGCTGGCAAAGAAATAACTGAAAAAACCCTAGCTGGGAAACAGCATACAGAAAACTGCATAGCAAGAGACAAGCTGCCCGAGGGCAGATGGGGACTGTGACTCTAAGCAGCAGAGTATGTCAGAGGGACCTTCTCACACATTAAGAGAGCCAGAACCAGGGTCAGAACCGGGAACTCTCTTAGCTACACTACACCATCTTTTCAAGTGACTTCCCTCTGAGGATCAGTCTGTCAGCATCTGCAGTGAGGACGGGCTACAGCCTGAGTCTGTCGGACACCTCCACACATCTAACAAGATGCCCAGGAGCAGTAGATAAGAGGCGTGGAAAGCTCACACTGTATTACACAATGCAAGAAGGAGCAGAGCCAAGAGTGGGCAAATCTCAGAACAACAAAAAGTGATCTGGCCTTAGTGACAGAAACCAGAGCAGGGGCTACCTGGAGAGGAGCCTTGCTGCCAACAATGGGAGCATCTGGGGTGCAACGCTCTTTATTGTGAGCACAGTTCAGGGTACACAGGGGTCTAAAATCTTCTGGGCTATGTTTTCTACATTCCTCATGTCCAAAGCTTTAACTTCTTACTGTCTGAATTTGTAGGAGTAGGTTCTCTCCTCCCACTATGTGGGTTCTAGAGACGGTCCTCAGGTCACTGGGCAGCAAGCACCTTTATATATTCAGCCATCTTGCTGACCCTTTTGGGGGCTTTAATTAGAACTGCACAGTAGACAGTCATTTCAAATATAGAAAAGTCCCACAAAAATTTTCTAATTTGGCCTTGGTGTCACACTACTCTGAAATTACCCATCCAGTGTTCCAAATACTTAGATTCCAGAGTTACACGCAAACAGTACTCACAGAGGTCATAACTGTTCCTCTTCCCCTGTCCCCTTTGTTGTCTTCTTATGATTCATAATTAAATGCACTGGATCACTGAAACCTGATATGCTCCCAAGCAAGCACTCTTCCATCCAACAGCAATGTTGGGAAGAAGGAAGGGTTCAGTGGGAGAGGGAGGGAGATGAGGATGCAGAATGGGAGGTAAAAATGACCGAATTTATTTATATAAATATATGGAATTATTAAAAATAATTACAATTATTTATATGTATGAATGTTTCACCTGTGTGCCTGTGAGGGACCTGTGCATTTGAATCTTCCTCTGGATGGGCAGCCAGTGCTCTTAATGGTTGAACCATCTCCCCAGTCCACCCCAATTGTTTAATTAAAAAAAGAAAAGACTTTAATCCCAGCACTCGGGAGGCAGAGGCAGGTGGATCTCTGTGAGTTCGAGGCCGGGCTGGACCGATAGCCTCCGAAACAATACAGAGAAACCCTGTCTCGTAAAAACCAAAAAAAAAAAAAGAAATGTCCCCTCAATCCAAAATATATCAAAATCAGCCCAGCCCTGACCTTGGGAGAGTGCTCAGACAGGAGAGAGGTTATCAGCAGAGTTGCCTCTCAAACAGGCAACACTTATGTGCCTGGATGTTGAGTTGTGATGCCCTGTGCCTTTGTGTACTGTGATATTCCAGCATACATAAATGATTCTTTTTCCTTTCTTTTCTTTTTGAGACAGGGTTTCTCTGTGTATCAGTCCTGGCTGTCCTGGAACTTACTCTGTAGACCAGGCTGAGGCTGGTCTTGAATTTATAGAGATCCACCTGCCTCTGCCTCCAAGTGTTGGGACTAAAGGTGTGTACCACCACCGCCCAATATGATTCTTTTAATTATCTGCAAAAGCAGAAAAATTTTAGTTTACTCTTTCTTAGCATGTATAACTTTTTACAATGAAAACATGCTATTTTCATGATTAGTTATGTTTTAGTATCTTTTAGTCTTTTTTTTTTTTTTTTTTTTTTTTTTTTTTGGTTTTTCGAGACAGGGCTTCTCTGTATTGTTTTGGAAGCTGCCCTGGAACTCGCTCTGTAGACCAGGCTGGTCTCGAACTCACAGAGATCCACCTGCCTCTGCTTCCGGAGTGCTGGGATTAAAGGTGTGTGCCACCAACACCCAGCTTATTTTTTAGTCTTATTAATACTAGGATCAGACTAGATTATTAAATTATATATTTACCTATGTAGTCTTCCTTCCAATTTGTCCATTACATAACTGCTTCTAGTTATGCTCATAAGATAAACAGACCTTTCTATAATGCTGTGAAATTAAAAATACAACTATGTTCATATTAATGAGTCATACAATATTTCTAGGAAAGAAATCAAACTGGTGAAGAATTATAAAAGATAAAAAATTAATACTTTCTACCAGTCAGGGATAACTACATATGTGACACAGATAAAGAAATGAATGAAAACGAGAGCACCACATTCATGGTCCTAATACTACAATTACCAAGGTGTTGTGTGTGTGTGTATATGTGTGTGTGTACATTTGTAGGAACTATCAAATATACTGATAATTTCTACTTCTTAAAATAACTGATAGGTACAGGAACATTAATTATTCCTGTAGTGTGTATTAAGGAAAGAGGAAAGAAGTTGCCACAGGGTCTTAGGACTTGTATGTTTTAGACAAAACAAATCCAGATACCCATTTTTTTTTACAGCTGGTTTATATCCTTTCCCCAAATCAATGCTTTAAAATTATTTGCAATTTCACTCAGGCAGGTAAGACAGATGTATGAGCTATGCATTTTAGAGAGGCCAGTTCATTAAAAATATAATACGGATGAAGCAGTGCAATATGAAATTTGATGCATCTGTCTTGATGCATAATGCCTATGAAGGCAGTTATGCAATGGGCTTTAACATCCAACGTTTATTCTCATTATCAACGTGAATAGTAATTTAATCGGTGGTTCATTTGAGATGCCTATATTTGCCACATATAATCCAAACAGCTGCAGTCACTGGTTGGAAGGCACAGTCTCTGTGGGAACATCAATATGCAAACAAGGCCAAGACCTAGAATCTTTGTTAACTCTCCATCCAGCTGTTAAGTGCGTTTGTGAAATTAGAGTTGACCTATAAATACACTGTAATGCTTTAAAATGTGGTGTTTGAAAAAATCAATATGGTTAGGAAAGTGTACTAATTAGACAGCATCCGAGCAATTACAGAGACAGTATTATGTCAACATACATTTTATTACTCTGAGTCTAGTATTCATTTAAAAGAGACCTCCCAACTTCCTATTAAATATGTCCTTCCCAAATTACCAGCTAAAATCAATCAATAGTTTCTTCTTGAATTCTGTGGCTAGAGGATGCATAAGAGGCTAACAGGAGTACAGAACAATGCAGGGTTTCTATTTCAAATAAACACCAGCTCTGATATGGTTGGAGGTTTACAAAAGGAGGGCAGACAATTCCACAAGAAACTAAAGCAGGATAATTAAAGTATGTGGAGCATAAGATATTTTAATGTCATACACTGTGAAATACATTCTTAAGCCATTCAGCAATTACCAGATGAATTTTAAATAAAGGCTTGTAGGTATCACAATACCTACAAGAGCTGCAAACAATGGTGGTTCCCTGTACTGGCTGGTTTTCTGTGTGCCAACTTGACACAAGCTAGAGTCATTAGAGGAAGGAGCCTCAGCTGAGGAAATGCCTCCTTGAGAGCCAGCTGTAAGACATTCTCTCAATTAGTGATCAATGGGGGAGGGCCCAGCCCATGTGGGTGGTGTCATCCCTGGGCTGGTGGTCCTCAGTTCTATACAAAGGTGGGTTGAGCAAGCTAAAGGGGAAAGCCAGTAAGCAGCATCCCTCTATGGCCTCTGCATCAGCTCCTTCCTCCAGGTTCCTGCCCTGTTTGAGGTCCTGACATAACTTCCTTCAGTGATAAACAACAATGCTGAAATGTAAGCCTAACATAACAAACCCTTTCCTCTCCAACTTGTTTTTTGGTCATGGTGTTTCATTGCAGCAGTGGAAACTGTAAGTAAGACATTCCCATTGACTAAGGATTCACAATGGCCATGCACAGAGCAAAAAAAACCCCTCCTGCCCTCAAACTGCAATTTCTGCCCATTCAGATTTTAGGTGAGGGTGGACATTTTCCAAAACTGACAGCAAACAATGTGGCCAGATGCATAATCCTGCTACTGTGTTTTAGTTAACATTTCTTATAGGGCATGGCACATCAATAAATGAATTCTACATCAAGGATATGTTTGGGTGATTCTTGTATGTCGTTATACTGGGAGGAAAAATAAAAAGTAGTGTTCTTGCAGTTACAATACTAGACATCTACCAGGCCATTGTTTGTTTTTCCTTCTTTTGTTTGTTTGGTTATTTTGGGTTGTTGTTTTGGGATAGAGTGTCTTGTTTTCCAGGCTAACTTTGAACTCTATGGAGCTGAGAATGACTGAACTTCTGATCCTTCTGATTCAGTCTTTGAGACTGGGATTACATATGCATGCCACATCAGTCCCAGTTTATGTGGTGCTGGGGATTGAGCTAAGGATTTTGTGCATGGTAGACAAGCACTCTACATTCCTAGTCCTCTGTCAAACCACTGACTTTGTTTTGTAAATTAATTTATATATCTCTCTGTAATATTTTAAACTATTTACCTGCCATAAATACAAAGGCAAATTAACACTGTTGTTTGACAAAAAATAAAAAGCACATGAGAAAATGAAAACTTTACAGAAAAATATCACAATATCTCTCCAGATCAGATTTGTAAGTAACTTCTGTCCAACTTCTTGGAAAGTAAGAGAAGAAGCCCATGGTCTTTCTCTTGGAAGAAGCTACAGGAGCTGGTGTATGCTAAACACAAGCATAAACTGGATTTACAGCATTGGCATGCAGGAGTCTGTGAATACCAGTGGAGACTCCTCACCACTAAAGCCTGTGCATAGCTCTCTTGGAATCTGACATTCTTCTGGATATGCTCTTCTTCAGCCCCTGATCCACCCGACCTAGTGATTTAGCAAGTCACATGACACTACCTGAATCTCCACCCTCCACTACAGTCACTGTGCCAGGGCCGTCCCTCATAGCACTGACTGTTAGATGCCTTGATAATGTGCCCAAAGGTTCCACTCTTTTCATAGCCTGGCTTCTCAGTGAGGAGGAATCACCCTCATTGTTTTCAGTTGAGTAGCTGCATGCTACTTTCAGTGACCAGCACTGTCCATGGAAAAAGCCAATAGTAATGTAATAATAATAAAAACCACACCAAAACACCACTTCCTTTCCAACTGCAATTTTATTATCAACTCCTATTCTAGAACACTGATTCTATCAATAAGAGGAAAAAATGATCACCACATATTAGCATCCAGATGACTAGAAAAACAAAAACAAGAAGATGCATGTAAAGGTGCTTGCATCAAGCCTAATGACTTAAACTTGATCCTCAGGGCTCACATGCTAAAAGGAAACAACCGGCTTTTGAAAGCTCTCCTCCAGCCTCCATGTAGTGACACACACATACACACAAAGAAATACATGTAATTTAAAAAACTAAAAACAAAGCTGGGCATAGAGGCACATGTCTTTAATACCAGCACTTGGGAGACAGAGGCAGGCAGATCTCTATGTGTTCAAGGCCAGCCTGGTCTACATATAGAGTTCCAGGACAGTCAGAGCTATATAGAAAGACCTTGTCTCAAACAAACAAATATAAAACCCAACATAGCTAATATTATTTAATGTTGACATGGAAGTGACTTTGAAGACATTTGTCCTCATGCACAATCTAGGTAGTTAGAAATTAAAATACAAAATTTTATGTGCTAAAATCTAAAGAAGAAATGAAGGGAGACGAAACGTAGCTAGCTTACCGAAATGCCTGATTCAGAAGCTGGTAATGAAAATGTTCTGGTGCCAGGCCAATGACCACAGCGTTGGGGTCATCTGTTTGTACTCCTGGCAATGGAAAAAATGTAAGAGTTGAGAGTTGTCACACTGCATAACAAATTTCCAGTGACGTGCACATTTTGCTATCACCATAATTTGGAAGTCTACAAGGAGAGAGAAAGGAAAAGGGAGAGGGTTGGGTAAGGAGAGACATTAATATTTTTCTATATTCTTCATATATGGTTTTATAGCTATTGAGTATCTAGAATATTTGAATTGAAAATTGTAATCTCATATTTGCTAGTGATTCCTGATTTCAAAATGTTTTACTGATTACAGCCAGGAGAACATGAGTTACTGATGAGGGAATGGAATTCTAAGAGGCAAGGGAAATTAGATTTCTAAATGGCACATGCATGACAAATATGGAAAGCACCATCATGTAGAATTCTACAGTTTTATAATAATTTCCTAATCTACTTTTAGTTTCACACATATTAAAGGATGTTTTAGGGCCTTAGTATCTAATAATAGGACTTCAGATATGACAAACACATTTACCTTCATAGTGATAATTTGTGCCTTCATAGGAATAACCTTTGCCTGTCGTTGTGTTCAGATACCCAGTTTTGATTCTTTTGTTACTAATTGCCATAAATATTAAATAACTTGTTAATGTTTGTTAAGGAAACAAACTAAAGTAATTGCCTTTAGTGAGAATTGAGTATTTGTAATGTTAATTCTTTTCATTATATCTACCACTGAAACAGAGATGTTGGCAAAGATGTTACGATTTTCTTGAAATACTCACCTACATTGGTTATTTTCATGTATATAAATATGTTCCAAGGGGTGCAGTCCGATCACTGAATGACAAGATTTCTTTCATGTCCTGACTCAGGATTCTGCTTTTATGTCCCAAATCTAGCTTGCTGCTGCTGCATCAGAATCCCACTTTTTTTTTTAATAGCTAGAATTTTAATGTTTACTACAGTCAGCAAGGGAAAGTCAGACTCAAAGCTTGTTCTGCTTTCCTCTGCTTCTTCAGAAATGACTATGTTGACTATGGAGACGAGTCTTGATTTTCAGTTGCTCAGCTTCTGTATCACATTGGAGAACTTGTTGGCTCATGTGGCATCACGGGGCAGAGGCAGAGAATACCAGAATAATGGGGTCTCTTGAAGCTGAGAAGGGTGGGTTAAGACTAAAGCTCTTCCAGTCAGAAGCCCCAGGCGGGGCTTTGAACTGGGAGTTTGAAACATAGAGGAGCAGGAAGCTACTCCTCCAAAGCAGCGGCTGCCAACCTTACCAGGTGCCAGCTGTAGTGCCTACTGGGGCCACAGGGACAACAGTGGGACCTGATTACTATGGGTGCTGCACTCTGCTTCTGCCTTCACAGCCCTGAACACTAACTCTTCAGCTTCCTTGACAGTTCTGTGGGCTACTACAGGGCCTTGAAAATACTGTGTGTGTGTGTGTGTGTGTGTGTGTGTGTGTGTGTCTTTTGGATTTGTTTCTTTGCGCAAGTGTGAAGATCAGAGGACAACTTGCAAGAATTTGTTCCCCCCTTCCACAGTGTAGGTTCCCTTGGATGAAACCCAGGTTTTCAGTGCCTTTATCCATTAAGCCATTCTGCTATTCCATGACCTTTCTTGTTATCATGAAAATATCCACAAACACACAAAAGCAGAAAGCCTAGGTAGATCTGTCATCTAGCTTTTTTCAGCCATCAACATTTTGCCAATCAGCTCTTGTAGTTTTGGAAAGTCTTTCTAGAGCAAACCCAGATTATTGTGTCATTTTACTCTTTCATATTTCAGTATTTATTTTAATTAATAAATGATGAAAATATTAAAAACCTTAATATAAATATACAAAAAAGTTAATAGCTCATAATATCATCCAATATTTGAATTTCCCCAAACATCCTTAATTGTTTCTTAACATAGAGAATGTCAAACTGGCAATCTACAAAGCCCATGTTGCCTTTGACTGATGCTTTTTATTTCTCATTCTCTAAGTTTACTTCCACCCCTTCTTGGTGCGAAGAGACACTAACTCTGCATTTGGCTGATTGTAAAGTTGTTCCTTTATCCCTGTCTTTCCTGTACAGGGACATTAGATTGAGAGGCTGTATAGGTTCATATCCAACTAGCTTATTTCATAGATGACACTATGAATCTCTTACCATATTACATCATGAAGCAAGATTCTGGTTATTCCACTTGCAGTGGTGTTGAAATTGATCACTGGAGGAGTGGAGGAACTGTTACCCACACTCCTGCAGCTAGCTAACACTTTAAGGTCTATTGATATTCTTGCCTATTTCTTGAGAACTTATCAAGTGGTAATGCTTAATTCTGCATTTCTATCTGTGATTCTTCTATAAATAACTTAATTTTATCAAATATTTGGTTATCCTAAAATACAGTTTAACTGAAAGAGTAAGATAAAATACTTGTCCTGTTCTTTTCAGAGTTAAGGAGCTAGATAGAGTCCTCCTAATCTCCATTAGTGGCCTATACTGGACTGAACATCACTGGGCTTGTCTGTATGTGTGTTGTAAAAACCACATCATTCTTTTTGATATTCAAATTATCCCTTATAGAGGTCTTTGGGCATGTCCTCATCATTAACTCTTCAGGAGTTTCTCTACTAACGTAATGCACCAAGCAATACTCATCTACTGCATGCTTAGGCAGTGAGCCTGCCACTTTTCCAGGAGCGACAGTAGGGAAAAAGACAACAGACACCACAGTCTAAGTGCGTGTTTGTCACACTCATTGGAAGACCTACACAACCTGCAAAATTTTAGGGATGGAAATATATTTATCAGTTGAGTGCAGTCAAAGTTAGTTTCTATTTCTTACAAGTAATAATTCTGATTGCTACACAGTATATTTCCTATTAGTACAGGTTTGGAGGTCCTGACCAACCTGTAAAACTATCACATGGCATTATAATTAAGATATTCACATCTATTTTGCATATTGATCATTTTACAAAACAATGCGGCAAGGCTTCATATAATGAGGACATTTTTTATAGTTACTTTTTCTAAAGTGAAAACAAATTTTTACTGAACATGTAGAATGGCATCTATTCTTAAGAAGGTCCTCCTGATTTATCTTATTTAACTAAGGTAAGAGAGCATATCCTGGATTAGGAGTTATAATATTCAAAATAATTCATTTTAACCATGGCTCACAATTCACTAACAGATTATGAAATTAATCTGTAATACTCTAAGTAGCATTAAAAATCAAAGAACACAAACAGATAATATAGCATTTCTCACAAAGTTAGAGTATGATTTAACACATAGAAACATACCCACACACATGTATCACTACACAGTGAATCTCTCTTACTGTGGATGGTTGTTAAGAAGATTTGAGAAACATCAACTCAGACTCAAACTCTATTAACACAGCAGGTGACTTGGAAAAGTCAAATTCCAAATGCAGAGGCACTTCTTTTATTCCCTAGTCTATAGCAGCTCCTAATGTGTGTGATAGAGCTGGCCGGCCAAGCCTTAGCGGGTAAGTCGCTGTATTGATATGGACAAGGTTGTTTCTGTTGTTTCTGTTTTGTGGACTTTTCAGTAATAACAGGGACATCTAAGGAGATGCCTCTTCCACATGCTATCAGGCATGAAGAGCTTGTTGTAACTCCTCCCGAGCCTGTCTCACCTGTGAAATCAGGCAGTGCACGGTCATCAACCAACAGCATGGGCCTGACTTGTTTCTGCTCCACTAAGTTTCGGGCTGCCGTCAGAGAGGTGAAGATTTCATCTTCGGAGATGTCAAATTCCAGCTTCTTCAACCTTTCCAGTAGGTCTTGCTTGCTCTCTTTGGTTGTGTTGGTCACAAACCTAACCATCACAGAAGCAGCCCGTAACCTAGAAAAGGAAAACTCAGAAGTGAAGAGGCAGCTTTCACCTCCTAGTCCAGAGAGCCTAAGCTAAGCGTTTGGGCACAAGGCTAAATCAGTCACTGTGCTGTTGTGGACTGGATAAAGCTGGTGTTGTTTTAATCTTCCAGTGCTTACAAATTATCTACACCCTATGGACAGTGCTTTACCTCCAAAATCTAGAATGTTAAATTTGGAAAGCTCCATCCACTTTTGTGGGACCTTCTGGGCTTTAGCTACCCTTTGCTGTGGAGGTTAGTAAAGAAACGAAATACCACTGTCCTCACAGGTCTGAGGGGTAAGGTATCTTAAAGATGATCCACTCGTGTAACATGACAAACCCAGCTTTATTCAGTGGAGCCATGACAATGGTTCCTGTGTTCCAGCAATGTTTTATATCCCTTACTAAGAGAACCAAGGATGCCACAGTTACTTGAGACTTGTGAAAGTAATCTGGAAGTAAATAACAACAACAACAAAACCCAAACAAGTGCAATAGATAATCCAGCAAATCTCACATCTCATAGAGTGAGATGTTAGTGGAGATGGCCCTGCCCCAGTGAGTCATCGTGCTTACAAACAGAAGCTACTTGGACAGCTCAGAGAGAAGCTCAAAACTGGTGTCTTGTCAGACCCAGAAGCTTGTAGAAGAATGGAAAGTTTGAAGCTGTCCTGGGCCATACAGTGAATTCAAGGCCAGCACAGGCTACACAGCAAGGCCCTGTCTCTCTTGAACTGCTTACACATAGGACTAGTTTGCTTCCACCACCTGTTTTTGAATAATTGGCATGGTTTCAGAGAAAGAATTTGTGAATCTAGCTAGCCTTCTTTAAAAATATTCTTTTCTTGGTTCAATAGTGTTTTAATATAAAATCTAAAATTATAATTTAGCTATAATTTAGAATTTATACTAATAAACTTGCTTTTTATGTCTTCCCCAGAAGGTCACAAGGCATAAAAGTACTAGACACAATTTAAAGCAATCAAACAAATAGAAATTTTAAGAATTCACCCAAAGAACATTAAATAAATTTAGTTGACTAATTCACTGTAATCTGTGTGATAGCTTTTCAGCAAAACACATTCAATGTGGTGGTTTATCTCACAAAAGAAAGTGGCTACTTCAACATGGCTCTTATGCTAAAGACGGGTTGGGTGGGAGGCGGGTGTTACTGTGCAATACCACACCAGTTTCAACTGAGTTTGTTTAAAGACAAACAACTAACTTTTTGTGTAACTAGTCCTTCAACTTCCTTTGTCTATTTGTTTCCATAGAAACCAGAGTGGGAGGGCCAGTGTAGAGATTTCCCTGGTAGGAAAACCTGCCAGTGACAATGACAGAGAAATAGACAGCCTCCTGCCTGGCAGAGGGGCAGGCTCCTAGGTCACACAGATCACACAGGTGTCTCTGTTCAGCAGAGGTAAAAAGATTTTTCTCTCCTCCTAGAGCAGAAAGTGCATCTTCAAAGTAGTGACACCTAGTACTGATGTGTGGTTTTGCTGAACTTGTGGACAAAGATTTTAAAGACAAGTGGGAACTCTTTTTCAATCCAGAACTCTCTGTTCAGTGTGGGTTTGGATATACACATGGAGCAATATGATACTTAAGACAATTAAAGGTAATGGAGATCCTGACAACAGGTTTCTACCTTGAACACGAGGTGTGGGGTGGAAGGTAGGTGTCTTACTGTGAAAGCAGCACTGGCATACCCACAGGTCTGTAAGTTCCTAAGTGTGACTGGCAGCTTGTGGGAACATTAGCTGAGCTCAGTGTGTTAACAGAAGTGGCACAGCATCCATTCCAAAATAGATTCTCAAGTAAACTGCTTCTAGAAATTAATGCTAATTTAATCACTTGCCATCAGTGTCTCCATAGTTCAGGTGTAGATCAAAGAAAATCAAATGAAAGAACTGTGGGCTGGGAACGCACTGGAGTGAACACCAGTGCTCTAACTGGGAGGCGATCTGGGAGAGAAATCTCAAGCTCTGGCTTTGGAGAAGCTAAGATGACTTGGATGAGTAGTAATGTTATCACAAAGGAAATCCCTTAAATAATAAAATAGTTTAAATAATTCTGTCTAATTTTACTTATTTTTATAAAGCCCTTTATACAGTTTGCAGAAAGTCAGCATTACATTTTAACTCAGCTTCTCTAATGGTTTCTATGAAGGAAATAAAAATTAAGTTTAGCTGTTAAAAATAAATAGATCTGGGGCTGCATCTCAGTTGGATGAGTGCCTTCGTACCATGCACAAAACCCTGGGTTCTGCTCCCCAGTACTCTACAGGCTGGGGGTAGTGGCACACACCTGCAATTCCATTGCCTGAGAGATCCAAGTATGGGGGTCAGAAGACAAGGTCACCTTCAGCTTTATTGAGTTCAAGGCCAGCCTGAGATACTTGAAAAGGCAAGAAAGCAAACACTAGGAGTCCATTCACAGAAGTTCACTGGTCAGCAGATACCCATCCTGGCCCTAGAAGGCTGACCCAGAGAGACTATGTCAAGGGATGGAGTCTAGCTGGATACCCAGTTGTCTTTTGGTTTTAAACGCTGCACTGCCCGTCATTCCTCTGATTACAAAGTTAGCATCATGACTGCAAATGAACAGAACAGCTCCACTGTATGAGCACCAGGTATACTGGCGTTCTTATGTTTGATTCTCTACATGGAGAGTGAGGACTAGAGGGAGGATGACCTGTGTCAGTTGTTACCCTCCTACACAGCAGGGGTGATAAATGTCACCGGATTTTCACACAGTGAATATTCTAGGGTTTGAAAATGACAAGTACCAAATTTTATATTGCTGATTCTGAAGTCTCTAATTTTTGTTCATGACACCTGGAAGCAAACGTCCATATTCAGTTTATGTTGTGTATATATGCGCACACGTGTGTGGGTGTGCAGAGGACAGACTCAGGTGTTTCTTCGTTGGTGCTTTCTACCTCTCTTGAGACAAGTCTCCCATTAGCCTGAGGCTGGTGGATTTGGCAAGACGACTGGCCTGCTGGTGAGTCTCAGATCCACCACACCTGTCTTTAAGTGGGTGCTGGGGACTGAACTTAGGTCCTCATGCTTACAGGACAAGCACTGTCATCAATGAGTCAACTTTCTAGCCACTCAGTTCTCTTTAACACACTTTTACCATGTATTCTCTGCTTGCTTCTATATTTGTACTTGTTTAGTACTATATTGGTGAGTCAGAAATATAAGACAGTCCTTAATCTTTGGACGTATTAAATGCAGTTGATGAAAATATTTTTTAAAAATTCCAAGTCTTTCAAGTGAGCATTATTTTTAACAGTTGCAAATTCAATGTTAGATATTAGGAGGCTGAACAAGCCTGTGTGCATGCACATTATATATATTTTTCAGTTGAATTCCAGGATTCATATGATTTTTTCCAGAGCTATTTATGTTATATTTTTAGAACTAAATTGTTACTTTAGTTTCTTGAGTCTTCATCCCCAATTTACATTATTGATTAAAAAAAACCAGACGGGGGAAGAGAGGAGAGAGAACAAAAGGACTAGAGCAAAAGGCCAAACCTAATGAAGGCGAGAGAACAATGTTCGAGGATATTATAATGCATACATCTTCTAGCTAAACCCAAGGCAGTTGCTCCATGTATGGTGAGCTGGTGAGACGCAATCTCAAGGCCATCCATTTAGCTAATGATCCGCCTTGGTAAAGCGGCACTTAAAAACGTATTTGTCATCTGAACCTGGAGGATAGCTTGCCTTTTAAGAGCTTCCTGTGCGCCTGGCACAGCTGCATCTTCAATGTGAAGTGTGCCATTGAGATCTACCAAAACAGCTTTTAACGCACGGCGCGCTGCCATCCTTCATTCCCTAGGAGAGAGCAAATGAAATTAAAAATACAGTTTAACAAACAATGGACAATTAAAAACTGGTAAGCAATCAAAAATACCATTCACATCCAGGAAGATATTGCTTAGTGTTAAGCTGCTCCTCTTTGGAAAAAAAATAGCATTTAAAAAAATCAAAACCCCAACATTTAATGCATGAAACTTTTAATAATGCTTAAGTTTTTATCTATTTTCTGTTTAGTCGAGTTAAAACTTGGAAGGAAAATGCTAAAATGAGATACTACTACCTACTTTCAGGTTTCTTAGAGAAGCTCTGGTGAATAATTTGTTTTAAGTATGAGAATAATGAATACATAGACAGGAACACGACATTAACAAGGTCTTTTCATTTTTGGTTATGGACAATTAAAACATTTTAATTGCCACTGCTATGTTCTGAACTGGTGTGTATGGCCAAGGAGCTGCCAGTATTTATAGGTACTGGGGGGGGGGAGAGTCATAATAGTAACAATAAATAAATGTATTCACAGAGTCCAGGCTGAACTCCCTGTGCAGCCGAGGGCCACCTTGAGCCCCCTGCCTCCACCTCCCAGCTGTGCACCCCTATACCTGGTTCTTACAATGTTGGGGATTGAATCCTGGGCTTCACATATGCAAGGATAGCATGCTATCAGCTAAGCTACATCTCTAGCTCCTGTAGCAATATTTCAAGATTGCTTCCTCACTTTCTACTGTGCCACTTTACTCTGCATACTTTCCCCTCAAACACTTGCTAACTACTTAGGTTTATTTGACAAGGTCTTGTTATAGCCCAGGCTAACCTTGAATTCACGATCCTCTTGCCTCCTAAGAGCTGAAGCTACAGGTCTGTGCTACCATGCCTGACCCCTTTAACGTCTATTGTGAGTTTTAGCACCTAATGATAAATATAGATCATTGGGGGGGGGGCACAGACGGGACGGACGGACTCAAGAGCAGGAATGATATTTGAGACTTAACTGTTTGTTTTGAGATAAGGTCTCACCATGTAGCCCTACCTGGCCTGGACCCATTCTGTAGACCACGTTTGCCTCCAATGCATGACAGCACTCCTGCTTCTGTCTCCCAGTGCCAGCATTATAGGTATTTGTCTTACCTTTACATGGTATCTTAATTAGGGTTACTATTGCTGTGATCAAACACCATAACCAAAGCAACTTGGGGAGGAAAGGGTTTATTTGCCTTACACTTCCTTCACTGTTCATCACTGAAGGAAGTCAGGATGGGAACTCAAGTAGGGCAGGATCCTGGAGACAGGAACTGATACAGAGACCATGGAGGGATACTAATTACTGGCTTGCTTCCATAGCTTTGCTCAGCCTGCTTTCTTATAAAAACCCAGGACCACCAGCCCAGGGATGGCACCACCCACAATGGGCTGGGCCCTCCCCCATCAATCACTAATTAAGAAAATGTTTTATAACTGGATCTTATGGAGGCGCTTCCTCAGTTGAGGTTCCCTCCTTTCAGATGATTCTAGCTTCTGTCCAGTTGACATAAAACTAGTCAGAATACAAAGAATACTGTCAGCTTTACAAAAGAGGTATTACGAACAATAAAAGCATCCCTTTTACCCATCTTCCAACTTCAGAAGACAAATATATAGTCAGAGCCTCCTGTTTACCATCTTATCCAAGTCCTCTTCTTATATAATCAATGCTTTTATATTAATGATAATATAAGGTGTATACACTTAGCAATTTGCCACATCATTCCCTATTATGTTAGATGTGTGTAGGTTCCTATAGGTAGCTTTGGACGGTCATTTTCACCACTGTTTTCTACTATATAAATGCACTATAATATGTTCTCTTGTTAAGCAATCATAGTTTTATTATTTTATTATACCATAAAGCACATCTATTAACAAGTTTCCATGTCTCCTTGTGGATACCTGTGAGCATTTCTCTGAGGTCTTGCAAGGTCTGAAGGTGTACATGCATCCCCCTTTATAGAATACTGTTAAGTTGTAATCATGGTGTTATTTTATACACTCAGCACAAAACTCCATAGAATTAGTTAATTTTAAGAAAAAGGCTGGGTGTGGTGGTACAGACCTATGATGCTAGCTCCAGAGTTCAAGAACACCCTCTGGTTATATAGTTGAGTTTGAGGCAAGCTTGGGTTACTTATTTTTGTCAAATACCTGCTGGAAGAGTGCAGAGACCAAAAATAAAATAAAAAAGTATTAAGAACAGGCAACAGTATTTTTCCCTGGCATACAAATGGACTTTGGGTGCCCATCCAACAATGAGAGATACTCCTCAGCCTGGACTCTTGGAGGAGGGTTTAGGCCCTGCCCTGGATGAAATGACAGACTATGGACACCCCATGGAGGGCCTCACCCTCTCTGGGGAAATGAGGGGGTGTTGGGGGGCTTGGTGGGAGGGTATGGGAAGAGGGGAAGGAAAGGGAGAGGGACCTGGGATTGACATGTGAAGCAACCTTGTTTCTAATTTAAATTATAAAAAAGGCCTATTAGAACTAAACAAAACACAACAACAACAAAAAACAGGCAATAGTCGGGGTTGGAGAGATGGCTCAGTGGTTAAGACCACTTACTGCTCTTGCAGAGGACCAGGTTCAGTTCTCAGCAGCCATGTGGCAGTTCATAACTGCCTGTGCCAAGTAACCCAGTTCCAAGGAAATACAACATTCTCTTCTGATTCCCTTGGGCTCCTGCCAGCACACAGATACATGCAGGCACACGAACACACACATAATTAAAAAAAGAAAAGAAAAGCTGTGGTCAAGCGAGGCTCAAGTGCAAAATTCTCCCTTTTATGAATCTTCACAACATTCTCTCCTGGTCTTTATTGTGACCTTAGAATGAAGACATGGTTATGCATGCTGGTGATCCTAGCATTTGGGAGACCGCAGAAGGATCACAGCAAGGGACTGACTGGTCTAGGCCATTCAGCAAATTTACATGAGCTAATTAGCAAGGCTGTGTCTCATAACTAAAAGCTAACTGAAGGTTATTAAAGAACACTAGAAAAACACCAGAAAGAAACTGTGCAAACAACTGTCCAACTAGTGCCAGAGAATAATCACAAAACTATTGATGGTTTTGGTTTTAATTCCTCCAGAAACACTCAAAGGCATAATGTTATTTTAAAAGCCTACTTTTTTTTTTTCAAATCATGTCCATAGAACATACCTTATTCTTTTGGAGCTCCTGTGAGAAAGGGAAAACAGAACTTAGATGCTCCAGTCAAACTTCAAAATACACCTACCGCTTTGTGAACCTGTATAGTTCCTGTCAACTGAACCACAAACTATTATTTGACAAAGACACTTGGTATCCATGGGCTCGGGCCCAAGACCCTTGTCTAATGTGGTACAGTACTTGCCCACAGCTATCCCTCTTCTTCCAGATAACTGTAGAATGCACTTAAAGCAATGTAAATAAATGCTGCTCTACAGGATCCTTTAGGTAATGATGACAAGAACTTCATACTGTTGGCATAAATAAAATTTTATTTCTCCTTACAATACGTCTTGCCCTCCTTCCCTCTCTCCTTCCTTTTTTGTATTTCTAGAACAAAGTCAGCCCAAGCTGGCCTTGTACTCATGAACTCATGCTTCCTGAGTGATGGAATTCCAGGTGCCTACCACTGCATCTGCCTTTTTTGGAGTAGTTCTGGTTGGCAGTTGATTGAATGTACGGAGGCGGGGCCTGCAGATATGGAGGGTCAACTGCAGTGATAGGTGAGCATCAACCTGGAAAGAAATATCAGGGCTTCAAAGGGAGCCTACAGTCTTGTTCTAATCTGAGACCAACAGTCAATTACCACAAACTATACAGAATCTCAGTTATGAAGAGCTGGACCACCCAGGGCGGATAAACAAAACCAAACCCCATAAGCGACTGATGGGAACTGTTTAGTGCAAAGAAGAAAAGCACGTTTACTTTTATGCCAAGCAGAACTGAGCCAAATACTGCAGAGTGCAGTTGCCCTAAAAAAAAAAAAAAATCATTGGGTCAGTTCAGTCTTTACCTGAAGACACTCGTTTCTCTGTAAACCACAGGCAGTACCAGCAGCCCAAATGTTCAATCCAGTCAGTCCTACCCCCTTTGGTTTTCAGTATGACTTCTCTTTATCTTCAAAACTGCCTTAGTTTTAATATCACCTCTTCACTATTTTAAGAAAATCTCAAACCTCCTCTCCGATCGTCTTAGTCCCGTCCCAAATCACGACCTGGAACATGTCTGGGTATGAGCCCTGCCTACATGAACTGGGGACATTGTATCTGCTTAGCCTGTTTCTTCACTGCTGAGTGTACTGAACACCATGAATAGTGCTACACACTTGAGAAGATGGGATTCTGTATCAGACTGAGAAGGGATGTGATAAGGGCTATAAAAAAATTGCCAAGACAAATACGATGCAAGCACTGGGGATTTGAGAACACTACCAAAGCAAGGGTATTTGTTGCGTATAATTTTAAGAGCCTGTATAAATAAGGTAAAACATGAGATTTCAAAAAAAAAATCATTCTTATCGAGTTTTTTCAATAATGCCACCTGGACGCTCGGGATTAAAACGCTTCCCTTTTCTTACGGTTACCAACATTTTGGGAAGCCACTGTCACATCAATAAATGATACTATTATTTATCTAGCCATTCTCCTATTGGGTCTTCCTTCTGCAGGAACCCCATACTCTCAAGCCGAAGTCCATACGAGGAAGAGTAGTACTCCCACACCTACGTTCTTGGCAGCTTGCTCAGTCCAAGACTTCTGCTTCCCTCATCGGTGGCTGTCTAGAATTGCCCCTATCCTTCACTGGGCTCCTTCCCTCTGGCCACCTCCTGTAGCGCCCAGTCTCAGGTATCATTTTCTCTGATAACTCCTCTCCGGGGCTCTGTGTGTCCATAGTATAAAGCTTGCCGGCCTTGCCCAACCCCGCCTGCATCTCCCACTAAACTGTAGAGCTCTGTACGTGGAAGGGCCGTTGCCTTTTCTTCTGAGAACGCTCAAAAGAGACTCTTAAATCAAATGAACTCAGGCATTTCTCTCTGAGCTGGCAAGACCTAAGATCAAGGGCCTCGTTTTTGCAAACTTAACTGCAATGGCTTTCACCTCCTGGAGGTGAAGGCCCTCGGCCCCTGCATTCTGTCCTAACTCGGGTTCCAGGGTCCGGGGACGCTGGCGTCCGCACTGCACAGCGCAGTACAGTAAAAATGACAACCACACAATAATCCGCCTAGGGAAACTGAGCCCAGACAACGCCAGGGAAGGCCCTGGGAGGGCAGTTCTGCGCATGCGCAGAGGGGCGGGCTCCACCGGGACGTGGGAGACCCGGCCCGCGCTGCTCTCTAAGGTGACGCTGGCGTTTCCCCAGCCCGCTCCCAGGAGAAGGGGCCTCCGGCAGGGGGTGCGGCCGCCATTCCCCAGCCCGCGGCCTCTCGGTTGCACGCGCCTCCTCACCCTCGCTGCCCCGCTGTCCTCTGGAAAGGCCGAGGCGTCGCGGTGCACCACATTTGACCCGGAAGGAGTCCCGACGTACCGGAAGCCCCGCCCCGCGTCCAAGCACAGTGCCCGGAGACTCTGGTGTGCTTCCAAAGGGGAAGCGGCCACAGTTGGCAGGCTGGCGGGCGGGCGGGTGGGCAGCTTCTGGAACCCAGGAGATCGAAGGAGCTGTCACTTCTGTAATTGCTCGGTATAGAGCCCCACACCGCAGCACCATTGCACAAGCATTGCCTCCTCCCCCTCCTCGCTTCCCTACTTCTTGTCGTTTTTAGGGGCTGCAGACATTTTCGTAATCCTTCAACAACCCATGCCCCTTGTCTCTTATTACTTAAATTGCGTTGGTGTTTCTTTGTGTTCCAGTAACTTCAGGCCTCTACATTTTCCCATCACGTCATCCAAAATTGTGCCTTCAGCTTTCCTGGCCTGCTTTTCCTTCCATGAGAGCTCCCATGGGCCTTACCTGTTTTTAGGAGACGAAGATCTTGGTCCACTTGCCTCAGTCTTCCTTACCACCCCTTTCTGCACACATTAGGAGTCGCTGCTTGTCTTCTTTTTATTCAAATAAATTGAGTGCAGGTATAGACATCCTTATATGTCCACTATGTGTGAGGGTTAATTATGTCAGCTTGACTAGGTTTGGAATCACCCAATGACACACCTTTGGGCATGTCTATGAAGGTGTTTGCAGAGCTTGTCCAAGGGAAGGACCCATCCTTAATGTAGGCTGTACCATCCTTGGTCCATAGACCGAGGTCCCAGGCTAATTACAAAGGGATTGGAGAGAAGTCCCCTGGGCGGCAACATTTGTCTCTGCTTCTTGTCGATGAATGTGGCCAGCAGCCTCATGTTTTTGTTGCCAAGAATTTCCCCACTATGATGAGCTGTATTCTTAAACGGAAAAAAAAAATCCGTTGTGAGTTGTTTTGGTCAGGTGTTTTGTCACAGCAGTGAGAAAAGCAAGTGTATGCCGTGACAATGGATTAGCTCTTGGGAGGTGTGGTGTGACAGTTTACTCATACAGAACCTCTTGAGATGTTGCTCTGAAGCTGACCCAGAACCCAGATGCTGTTAGAGCACCATCTAGTACGTCTTCCCAGTGTTGCAGTCAATAGAGATGGACCGGGGAGACCACCTGTCCTTGGGGAAGGAGGCAGAGAATTCTGTTGAGATCACCATGTATTAAACCATTCAATGTGTAACGAGCACAGACTCTGGGGAACAGGCAGCTGTGAGCAAAAAGTCTGAAACGGCCATCTTGACTTATCCTATGCCAGCAAGTCATCCGTAACACTCCACAGACACTGTGCTGGTTTGACTGAGAATCCCCTCCCCCATCTGTTTGCACACCTAGTCCCCAGGTGATGAACTGTTTGGAAGGGATTTGGATGTGTGTCCTTGTTGGAGGAAATCTGTCACTGGTGGGTGAGTTTTGAGGTCTCAAAAGCCTACCAGGCCCTGATTGTGTCTTTCTGTCTGCAGCTTGTAGATGGGGATGACCCTCTGGAACTGTAAGCAAACCCCCAATGAAATGTCTCCTCACAGAAACAGAGCAGTGACTAAGACAAAAGTCTTGTGATGACTATTGACTACATCTGGGGACACTTGTGAGTTTTTTTCTTTTCCGTTTTTCAAGACAGGGTTTCTCTGTGTAGCCCTTGCTGTCCTGGAGCTCTTGATGTAGACCATACTGGAGGGATTTTTTTCTTTCTTAATTTGAAGTGGGAAGACTGACCTTCAACCCTGATCGCTTGAGGTGGAAAGACACACCTTGAATCTGGGCCACACCTTCTGCTGACATTCTATAGAAAGACACAGAAGGAAGTCTGTTCTTTGCTTGCTCTTGCTGGCAAGTCTATTCCTTCACTGGCATTAGAGTCAATTTCTTTGGGAATCTGGCAAGTACTGTCCATTGGTAGATGGTCATTATTGGACTATCTGGACCACAGCCTCACTAGGTTGTAAGCCACCCTAGAGAACCTTGAAGAATACACCACCTTGTCATGCCTGAATACCCTACCTCCTGAAGGTGCAATCTGAGGCTGGTCTAGATGAATCAGATTGTACCAGACATTTTGTTAACAAGCCTGGTGCAAAAGTTGTGAGGCTGTGATTGACCCCAAACTCAAGCCTCAATGGCTGTAACTGGTAGGAAGGGACAAAGCTGTGACTGGTCCAAACATCCCTTCTTGGCTCTGGAAGTAGGCTGTCTAGGTTCACAGAGTCAACAGGGAGACACTTTCCTGTGCTGCCTCTCCTGGTACAGCAGCATCAGGTGCCATAAACATCTTCTCTCAAGTGGTCTCACTTACTCAGTTGTGTAGGGTGAGGTGGCAATGCCAAGGAAGAAGCAGGAGAGTAATATGCATTCGTGTAGCTCAGCAGGTGGTGGGGCTGAGTTACAGAGGGCAGCCAACTGTAGCTGAACAGCCAGAGTGGCCAGAGCAAGAAAAAAGGGCAAGGGCAGCACAAAATGGCAGAATGCCAAGACAGATCAAAAAACAGTAAAAGCCTGGGAGCGTTTATGGAAACAGCCAAGTCTTTAAGGCCAAGAAACTCCAAATGCCTAGGCCTACTCATGAGCTGTAACACTGACTGCTACCAAGGGCAGAGACCTAGGACTACCTGGAGGCACAGTCAGCAACTTTTGAATCTTGACTTTCTAGGCCTGCACCAGAGTTGTAACTCTAATAAGGCTAAGGATGTTGAGGCCTGCACCAAGTCTGTAGCCCTCTCACTGGTCCTCCCACCCGCCCGCCCCCTCCACTCACTGCTGCCTAACACCTACAGAAATGACTGCCAAAGACCAGATCTCTGTGGAGTTTTACCTGTTAGGGCATCATAGTTCTATTTCTTTCTAGTCTGGGTCTGTAGTTCATAAGCAAAGCCTAAAAACCACTATACTCGAGTAAAACTGTGTTGAGTTTGTTTAATATCTAGAGTAATATCAAGGCCCTTTAAAACAGAGCAGGACTGTAGGGAGAGATCACTTACCTGCAGCTGACCATGGGGGCGTGGTCACAGGTATGTAGATTTAGTTGTTAAGAGATGGTAGAGGAGGGGCACACTCTCTTGGATCCTGGCCAAGGCTCGGAGACCATAGTGTTGACCCAGCTTCTAATGTGATTGCTCTCTCTAAATAAATATCTTAGACCCCCCCCTTCCCAATGTTCATTCTGGGGATCAGTTTCATCTTCATTTGGTGTCAGAAGTATAATTTTGACTATGTTAAAGTTAAAACCTTTCTTTTTATTTAGACAGAAAAGAGGAGATGATAGGGGAAGTCCTTCTGTGTATATGTTGTTCTACTGGTTGATAAATAAAGCACTGCTGGGCCGGGCGTTGGTGGCGTGCGCCTTTAATCCCAGCACTTGGGAGGCAGAGGCAGGTGGATCTCTGTGAGTTCGAGACCAGCCTGGTCTACCGAGCGAATTCCAAAACAGCTTCCAAAACAATAGAGAAACCCTGTCTCAAAAAACCAAAAAAAAAAAAAGCACTGCTGGCCAATAGGGAAGCAAGATAGGTGTGACTAGGAGTCGAGGAGGATTCTGGGAAAGAGAGGCACAGTCAGTCATGATGTAGGATACCAGAAAAGTAAGAGGTCCGGATCTTTTCTCCATTAAGAAAAGACCAAGTAGAAATACTCAGATTAGCAGTTATGGGTTAATAATTAAGTCAGAGCTAGCCAATAAGAAACCAAGCAAACGACCAACAACTTCATAATTAATATAGTGTCCTGTGTGTCATTTGGGGTTGATAAGGCTCTGGAACCAGGCTGGCAGAAAGAATCACATTATACAAGCAGACATTGGCCAGAGCATGAGGACCATAATTACTAAAACACTTGGAGTCTAGAAAGATCACACACTGTTCATCTTGAGAATGGTCAAGGGGAGGATGTAGGAGGGAATCAGGAATATCAGGCTACTGTGGACTAGAATAAGACACTACAGTTTCTGAATCTCATTCGCTCGAGGGAAATCAAGGCCTCCAGTCAACATCAAAACTACATTATGAGCATGGCTCCAGAAGCAAGTGTCGTGGAGCCAGTGCTTCATGCTTTCAGAACTGCTTAGCTACAGAGTACACTGGTCCTGCCGGGCTCCCAGTATAATGAACTTGAACAATATTCCAAACTAAATTAACAGGAAATTGTGTTGTTATATCTTATATGAACAACAGGGGTAGGACCAAAGTCTCTTTCTGAAAATCTGAAATGACTCAGTACGTAGAAATAGGGATGTCCTGAATCGATCACTTTTTAAAGATCTCATTAGAGACTCAAACTTGGACTCAATCATCTTCAATGTTTTAAAAACATAAAACCTGGTCTATTAACTCTTAGGCCAGAGGAACATCCTAGTACCAAATATGCTAGTTCCTCTTAGGAGCCAAGCATTTGAATATATTTTCCTGGTCCAGCTACCAGCCCTTTTGTCCAAATGAAAGGTCTTTAAAGGGAAGCCTTCCTGCCAGCCTGATTCCAGAGCTGTATCAGTCCCAAATAAACACACAGGAGGCTATATTCATTTTGAAGCTGTTGGCCTTGCTTGTTTCTTACTGGCTAGCTCTGACTTAAGTATTTACCCCATAATTGTTAATCTAAGTATTTCTCTTACCGGAGAAATTTCCGGGCTTCCTACCCCATGGAGGTTACATCTTGACTTCCTGTGTTTCTCCTACCCAGAGTCCTCCTCGACTCCTAGTCCCACCTATCTTGCTTCCCTATTGGCCAACAGTGCTTTATTGACATATACACAGGACTTCCCCAACATCGGTCAACCCTCTCCAACTGAGATATGACCAAAAGGTCTTCAGCACCTACTCCAGTTTTAGAAGTAAATTAAGCCATAAAAAATTACTCGAGGCCGGGCGGTGGTGGCGCACGCCTTTAATCCCAGCACTCGGGAGGCAGAGGCAGGCGGATCTCTGTGAGTTCGAGGCCAGGCTGGACCGACAGCCTCCAAAACAATACAGGGAAACCCTGTCTCATAAAAACCAAAAAAAAAAAAAAAAAAAAAAATTACTCAAGGGTCCTCTTGATTTATGTCAGCAATTCACACTGAAGAAATAAATGAATTATGAGAATTAATTTTATTAGAGCTCTATTCAGCAATTTTACAGTGAAGAACAAAATAGAAGTCAACAAATTAATAATGCTACGTTTACACTAAAGCACAAACCAAATGCGAGTTGGAAAGTCAGCTTTATTATAAAAGTTTTCCTGTACAGAAAGATGCCATCCCACCCCTTTAAAACATTGTAACCGAAACATTTGACATAATATTTGCACAGTTTAAATCTTCTAGTATAAAACTGTACTATAGCAATATCGGATGAGCAAAGTACCTCACAAGGTTGGCCTAAGACATTAAAAAAAAGACATCAAAACAAAAAACAAAAGTTATCTAGCATAAATGGTCTACTGACAGACAGAATGAGCAACTAAGAATCGTACTTTACCTATGCTGCTCCACCAAGAAATAGAAATATGACCTGGGAAAGGGGTACACTTCATGATAAACGTCCTGCTCCAACAGCTTACTTTGTGATTATATGGGCCAAATTTGCCAACTAACAGTTATACTGATTTTATCAAACAAATCATCATTGTAAAAAGGGAAGACTTTCTAACAATGAAAATATGTAAATATTCTGGTCTCATTGTTCAGGTCAACAACAGCATAAAAAGAACTTAAAACCACAGTTACCAAACAAATGATTTACAGAATTGGAATTTTCCCTGAAATCAGGGTATTGCCCCACGTAGTTATCTATAAATTTCTTTATAGCAGAGATGATGTAGACTAGTTAAGCAAAGAGCTCAGAATAAATTATCTAAATTACTAATTTGCCAATCATATTTAATTGTTGCTTTAAAAAAAAACTCTTTTAAGTTTACACAAGAAGTTAATTACCCTTAGGTTATACCTTAACAACAGGGGATTCCAAAACTTTGGAGAGAAGTTCATCCCTGAGTTGTGAGACAGAACAATACGTAAGAAGACAGAGGCAGCAGCCCTTTAACAACCTAGATTAACCACACATACTGTGTGCAATCCTAGAGCACTCCTGCCTCTAACAATCTGATCTTTTTGTACTGAAACTACAAGTGCAACACTGGAAAAATCAAATAAATAGAAACTGGTTTTATTGTCAACTTTACATTTTTTGTCAACTGCAAGATGAGTCTGCTAAAACATGAATATTCCAGTCATGATGGCAATAGTAACTTCTGAGGCCTTTCTTCTGAGTCTCTGATTTCCCAATGATGTTCAGCCAAATAACAAAAGCAATACAATAGTAATTGAGTTTACTATTATCAATGGCACTGAAAAGAAAAAAAAGTTTGTTACTATAAAAAAAGAGAAAGAAAAAAAAAAAGCAGTAGTAGGTGGCTTCCAGGAAGGATGGAAGTATCTAAAAATATGCCATCATAATCATACTGTAATAGTAATAATAACAATAGAAAAATATACTATTATAAAACCTAAGACATTTTCCTCTATACCTCAGGCTGACCTGGAGCTTGCAGTAACCTCCTTTCCCTGCCTCCCAAGGGATGGGATTACAGGTGTGGACTACCACACTGAATGTCTACATGCATGAAGGCGTCTTTGGATGGTACTGGGAGAGCCATGGGAACAAGAAGGACCAGGCAGAGTTACATGGCTGCACATCTGAGCAGAAATACAGTGCAAAGAAGGTTCTGTAGTTCCATCAAGAAGAATAAACTTGTTAACAATGAATCCAAAGTTATGATTAAGACATAAGAAGTCTCTAATCTCGATGTTTAAATACAAGGTATCTGCACTCTTTCTTGATTGAAGTATTGTTCCAAAGTATTTTTCAATACAATGGCAGATACGGAACCTTTACTTCTACAACGTGGGAGCCACTAGTAACATTCCATCTCCCTAGAAATCAGATGCACTAAAAAAAGAGACCAGCAAGCTTCAAGCAGTAAATCTAGGTTAAAAAAGAAAGAGTTCCCACCGCAAATGAGAACCCAGTGGTTCTCACTCTCAAAAGCTTTGCTACTTAAATCCTACCACAAAATAGTAACTTAAAGTGCCTGTCAGGTTTTCTTCTTACCTCTCATCACGGTTCTTACAGATCGAATAAGGTTCATTAGTTGGGATTTAATTCCTGGCTCCTCTCCGAATCCGCCAATTCCCTGGTCTGTTCCCCAGCCAACTGTGCAAGATAAAGATGATTAGCTGAATTAAATGTATTATGTGCTTGTCTTGTTCCCTCATTAGTCATCTTTTAAAAGATTAGTCTGAGCCCTGTAAAGACATAAAGTATAAAGTCATACATCTTAAGATACGAGCTAAATAGGTTTTCTTTCTCTTTTCATAGTGGCAACAAATATATTCTCCTCATTTCTCTTTGAGTTTATAAAGTAATCTGCAGTTCAACTGTATCCATGGTATTCAATTCACAGAAGACGGTTGCTCTCACAACCTGATGTTTTTTTCTTTCTTTAATATTATCAAAGGAACCCTGATTCTCAGTGCAGAACTGAAAATATGCTAGGGCAAATAATTACTAACTCAATTAAGAAGTTTATCATCTAATAATGTACCCATATGAAAATGCAGTAGCTGGGAATTACGTGGGCAGTTTTAACATGCACTTTGGACAGGTCTTTAGCGCAAGCAGTTTTCCATCTCCTCCATCATTCCTCACTTTTGCATTTGGAGTCAGTCTCTGTAAATGAGTCTTTCACCTCCTGTCACTTCCCCATTACAAGCCACTTTTATCCTTTATCTACTACTTCTTTTTGTTACTTTCTGAAGCTATGTCCTCATTTCAGCAGTTCGTCCTTCTCTTGTCCTCATTTCAGGTCCACTTGCACTCTCACTAGACTACAGAGTTAATTAATTCCTGGCATGTTAACCTCTAAACCTAAAGACGGAGAACAAGTCTATTTTATACACAAGAGAACCAAGCGTCAGGAAACTCTACTTAATCAGCTTTTATTGGGTTGAGATAACAGTTAAATAATGGCTGTCTGCATTTCTGTCCTGTTGTGGCATGAAACCAATTTCAAATTCAACTTGAGAAAGAGCTGACTTTAGTTCCACCCCCACACCCCCACCCCAAAGCCTGGCTGAGGGTCTGCTTCCAGGCTTCAGCTCTCAAGGGTGTCAGTGGCTTTTTGCTTCCAAGTGCATTCTGTCACCTTGTTAACACAAGACTTTCAAGTCAGATGTCTCTTAAATCTCACTGTTTCAATCCCTTTAGATTTTCTTTAAATTAAGAATTCAGTGACAGTGGTCACTGGACTGCAAAGCCCTTAAACTGGCATTGTGGAGTGTGTTAAGGTGAGCTGGAACCAAGCCCTCACAGATACTAAGAGACAATGGTCCAGCCAATTACCCATCGACCGTTAAAGCCAACTTCTGATCTGGTCTGACTGTCATATCCAGGCACTGGCCTGGACTACAGTAAACCCCCTTTCTCTTTGTTCCCCAAATCCCACATATATAGGGACTTTCTTCCCCTTGGTTAGGTGCTTTCAAGAACTCCCCATTAGATTACAAATTCCTAGAGGACAGGGGCTGTCATTCAATCATTGGTCTTCATGTTTCCACGTTCCTTATACCACAGCAAGTACTGAGCAGATGGTGTGCAACTGAACTGAATTACAGTGGACTGAGTTAGTCTGCTTAATGGAAGGGAAGATGAGTTCTTGACTGTGAAGCTGAACTGAACTACAGCAGACTGAGTTAAAACTGAGAAAAGGGAAGACTGTGGATGGTTCAGTGGGTAGAACACTTGCTGTGCAAGCACAAAGACCTGAGTTCAAATCCCCAGCACCCACATAAAGCCAGTTGCACATCTGTAAGGCCAGTGCTCCTGTGGAGAGATGGGAGGTGGAAGGAGAATCTCTGGAAGCTTGAGCACCAGCATTGCTGATCTGTGCAGCAACAGACATCCTGTCTCAAACAAGGTGGAACACAAGGACCTATACTTGAGTTTGTCCCCAGACTTCCACATGCATAAAAAAAAAAGAAAACCTTTAAAATAAGCCGAAAATAAAAAGGAAAACTTTTAAAGACGGCTATCCACCAGTGAAAGAAATATGGCTAGGCTTCATCTCTAGACAATGAACATTTGGAAAGCAGGGCCAATTTCTATATGGATGTGTTCACAGACAAACACAAACATGGCATGTGAAGGACCAGGGGAAAGAGATGTTTATCACAGACAGTTTCCCTCTAAATGCTGCACAGGGTCTCTCAACTATTTTGTTCAAGAGCTTGATATGTGTTGGTGTTGGGCATGCATGTACCTGTGTACATGTAGAGACTAGAGGTTGACCTCAGGAATTTCTCTGACTGTTCTCCACTTGTATCTTGAGGTACAGTCTCTAACTGCACCTAGAGCTCCCAGATTTGACTAGTCTAGTTATCAAGCTTGCTCCAGGCATCCCTTGTCTGTACCCCTGGAGTGCCAGGATTATAGGCAGGCATTCATGTGGATGGCAGGAACTCAAATCAAGTCCTCAGGATTTTATGGGAGGCACTTAACCAACTGAGCCATCCACTCCAGCCCCAAACAACATGTCTTTATGTGTTTTCTTGTGTTCCACAACCTTAATGAGCCTGTGTATTACTAGCCTCACAGCTTTCTAATGAACTGTTCAGGATTTTCTATACACACAAGAGTATATTATCTGCAAACAGATAAAGTTTTGCTTTTTAAATCTCACAATGTAGATCTTTTAGTTCTTGCTTCTTGTCAAATTTCCCTGGCCAGAACCTTTAGCACAGTGTTAAACTGAAATAGCAAGAGAGGACCTCTCTTAGTCAGGGAAAGCATTCAGACTTCCACCAGTAAGCATGCTATCCAACTGGGACATTTTCATAGAAGATGTATGGCTGTTTGAAGACTTCCCTCCTATTTCTAGTTTGATAAATATTTTTGTTTTTTGTGTGTGTATGTGTATATACATGTGCATGCCTAGGCTAGAGGTTCAAACCTGGTATTTCCCTAAATCACTTTCCACATTATTATTATTACTATTATTAGAGACAGATTCTCTCATTGAACCTGTAGTTTGCAAATTCCACTAGACTAGCTAGCCAGAAAGCGCCATCCTGTCTCTACCTCCTCAGAATGTGATTATGGGCACAAGTCACACCTGGCCTCAATGACCAACTCCTTAGCTTACTTTTGCAGCAAACACCACCACCTGAGTCATTCCCAGCCCTCTTGATGAGTACTATTAACAGAATTCTGGGCTTTCTGAATGCTTTTCCTGTGCCTATTGTGTTGGTCATGTGGTTTCTGTTATTAATACAGCGAAATGCTGAAATGATCCTGAAATTTTGGGCAAATCCCACTTGGTCATGTTAAATAATGCTTTTTATACATTGGTGAATGTGGTGGTTTGAAAGAAAATGGCCCCAAATGAAGTGGCACTATTAGGAGCTGTGGGCTTGTTGGAGGAAGTATATCTTTGTAGAGACAAGCTTTGAGGTCTCATATATGTTCAAGCCACACCTAGTGAGACAGTTTACTTCCTGCTGCCTGCATATCAAGATGTAAAACTCTCAGCTCCTGCTCCAGCATTGATAATGGACTAAATGTCTGTAAGCCTCCACTTCAATTAAATGTTTTCCTTTATAAGAGTTACCATGGTCATAGTGTTTCTTCACAGCAATAGAAACCCTAACTAAGACAGAAGTTGGTACCAGGAGTGAGGTATTGCTGTGATAGGCTCGACCACAATTTTGTTTGAAGGAATATGGGCTTTGGAACTGTGGATTAGAAAAGTAGTGGAATGCTTTAAGTGCTCTTTAGGTCACCAGCTCACAAATAACACAGAGACTTACTATTAATTATGGAAGTTTGGCCTTAGCTTTGGCTTTTTCCCAATTAGCTCTTTTAACTTAAATTTACCTGTTTCTATTAATCTACGTTCTGCCACGTGGCTTGGCTATTTCTTCTCTGTACCATATGTCCGACTTCAGTGTTTCACTGGTATCTCAAATGCCTAGATTTATCCCAAGTTCTCTCTCTGCCAGGAAGTCCCGCCTATTCTCTCCTGCCTAGCTATTGGCCATTTAGCTCTTTATTAAATCAGTCAGAGTGACACATCTTCACACAGTGTAAACAACTATTACGCAACATCTCCCCCCTTTTGTCTAAATAAAAAGGAAAGTGTTTAACTGTTACACAGTAAAACTATATATAACAAAAACAATTATCAGGTAAGAATTGGTAAGAATTACTTTCACAATGTCCTGTCCATTTATATTTGGCAATTTTGGAGAAAATACTCTATTATCTATCATATCTTGGTGAGTCCAAAGTTTTTTTTTTTACCTAATTCACTTTCTATCATAATTTGTATTACCAACCTAGAAATATCTTTTTAGTTCTTTTTTTTTTTTTTTTTACGAGACAAGGTTTCTCTGTATTGTTTCGGAGGCTATCGGTCCAGCCCGGCCTCGAACTCACAGAGCTCCGCCTGCCTCTGCCTCCCGAGTGCTGGGATTAAAGGCGTGCACCACCACCGCCCGGCTTCTTTTTAGTTCTTAAAACATCTTTGTAGATAAGCAACTTAAACTTTTATGTCTCTCAGTCTTACATATTTTACATCTTTTGTGAGTTTTTTTTTTTTAACCTGGTAACAAGGAAAACTGTAACTATAACTATCTAATCTTCAACTCCATCAGAAGACCTGAGAAAGATACAATATTACTTGAGCAAACAGGAAGTTCAGAGCAAACAATTCCAAAACTATAGAACCGACAGAGACATCTGACAGAGATATCTGGCCGTTGCCACAGTCACCCAAGGTTTCTCTGCAATGTTGGGACATCCACTTTCTGCCTACAGGCCTAGAATATCTGACTTTTCTGTGAGGCCAGAATTTTGAAGGACTTCCCTACCTTGTCTTGCCAAAGTTTGGCATTTGCCTCCTTTTGTATCCTGCTTGTCCAATTTGGACAGTATACAATAGCAGTCAAGGGCAACTTCTTGCCCATTGGTTAACTTTGCCACTTTGAAAGCAAATTCCATATGGAGGTTTTTTCAATGCCCATCCTCCCCCACTTTTTTTAAAGTAGATTGGTGCTGCCA